GTGAGTACATACTACAGTTGTTTCACATTTCCATTTGATTTGTCATTAATTACACCCATCAGTTATTTGCACTGGTTTTACAGGAAATGCAAAATCTCAACAGTGTACTAGACTAGAAGTATGTTTGAGAGGCAACAGCATTCTAATTCCTGTGAGTGAAAATGGAGGCAATAATGAAAAACAATACCACTGAAACCATCAAAATGCCCCTACATAGTTTTGTTACCACAGTAATTACAATTATTAAAAGTTTTCAGTATTTCTTGGACAAGGAATCCAGGAGCTCTGTCATCCTCTTCTTTGAACACTCCCAGACTGAGGCACAAATCTAAGGCACCTCCAACTCCAGGTAAGAGCTTAGGCTGGAATTGCAACCACCATCCCTTGTCTGACTTCAGTGGGCTAGAAGCCTTCAAATTTTAATGAAAAAAAAACCCAAACAAACAACTAAATCCTGTCCCATGACTTTGCATCCTCAGCTCACATCTGTGGTGTTCCAGCTGTGTTATCAGTCTGGAAGAAGGGAGCAATGCCTGCTGGCTCTTGCCCTTTAACTACTCTTTACTAGATGAAAGAGCCCAAGCAGAGAGATTCGTCCCATCACAGAGCAAAGAGGGATGACAACAAACTAAAATCCTCACACGTGCAGTGCAGGAGAGGATTAGCCTCAACCAAGATTGCAGAGAATGTCCTGGAAGCTCTGACAGCATTAGCACCAAACATCATGGTATCCTTGGGTACTGGAGATGCCAACAACTGCACTACTACACACACAGTGATGGCACATACAGCCCACACACAGAAAAAATACAAAAATGTAGTTTAAGTGACTGTTAATGTCACAGAATGGATCAGGCTGGAAGGGACCACCGTGTGTCACCTGGTCCCACCTCCCTGCTCAAGCAGGGTCATCCCACAGCACGTGGCACAGGATGTGTCCAGATGGTTCTGGAATATCTCCAGTGAGGGAGACTCCATGCCTTCTCTGGACAACCAGTTCCAGTGCTTGGTCACTGCACAGTGAAGGAATTCTTCTTCATGTTCAGGTGGAACTTCCTGGCCATCAGTTCCTGTCCCATTGTTGGACCCCACGGAGCAGAGCCTGGTCCATGCCCTCAGCCTCCCTGCAGACACTGACAGGGATCAGGGCCCCTCTCTGCCCTCTCTTCTCGGGGCTGGACAGGCCCAGCTCCCTCAGCCTGTGCTCAGTGAGATGCTCCAGTCTCTCCATCATCTTCATCACCCTCCATTGGACCCAGTCCAGCTCCATGTCTGCCCTGTCCTGAGGAGCCCAGAACTGGACACAGCACTCCAGGTGATCCTCACAGGGCTGAGCAGAGGGGCAGGATCCCCTCCCTCCAGCTGCCAGCTGTGCTCTTCCTAATGCACCCCAGGATTAATGACTTCAATTGTGACCAAAGCCCTTTCAAACACAAATAAACAACTATCATCTTTATCCCATTGTATTTACAACTTAAACATTTGGAGAAATTTTAAGTAAGTCCTACTGTTAGAAAGGTCAGACAATCTTTATGGTTCTCCTTTAATGCTAACATAAACTGATATGGATCTTAAGAGGTACAGAAACATAAAACCAGATAATTTAAAATAAAGTCCTTGCAGAACAAGGCTCTATCATAAAAACCTTGCCTCACTCTTCTAGATTCAACACCTACTGACAACAGGCATTCTCTCTCTGGCATGAAGAAAACTCCTGCTATGTGTACATGGAGCTTCTCTGATAGAACAGTCTGCACCTTGGATGAGTAGCCAAGAAGTTTCAATTTTACACCTACTACGTTTTATAAACTACTCAAAGCTTTTTGAATGAAAATTCTAATAAAAAATAAACAAGTACACTTAGCACTACTCTCTGTGAGCTGTCAATCAAACACATGGTCTGATCCACATAGGAACAGCCTTAAAGATTTTACACTGTGAACTTCCCAACCAATACACAGGGAGAATCTCTTCAAAGTCACCAGGAAACAAGTTAGAAAAAAAATGATAGACTTGTATTTTTCATCACTATCACTTATCCTGAGATGCTAACACATTTTTGAAGGCTAAAAAAGAAATCCTCAATTTATTTCTTTCTGAAGAATGTTTGTGTCAGCCAAGTTGAAGAGATGGTAACCTCAAACATAACATGTCTGGTTAAGTAAAAATACATGACTAATGTTAGTGTCATAAATGCCACTTTAAAAAGTTCAATAAGAAATTTGGATTGTTATTCCAATTTGTATTTTCATATAGCTTTCAGGAATGGAAAGGTATACTGGCAATATATGCAAAATAAGATTTCCCCTAACATTTTTTTCTAATGAAAACATGAATTAGGATTTCTCTCTATCCCTCCTGGCCTTTCTTTCCACCCACATCCCTTAAAAATGAAAAATGCATGCTTGCAGAACTTAAACACCCTAAATGTCACATAATAAACAGTTTATCATTGTCATTCCCATCAATTCATTCATATACTACTACCCTGTAATTGTTCCTCACCAAAAGCTATTATTGCTGCATTTACTCAAAGTCAGCCTTATCAGTTTATTGTATTTAGAAGTGTTTAAAGCTTATCCTAAAGATCAGAATATGCCTCAACAAATTGGACTGTCTACTGTCAGCCAAGAAAGTATCTCCTGATTTCTCTGGTAAATTGCATGAGAACTTTGACTAAACACTCAGACATTTTACAGGCTAAGACCTCTTTCCTACACCCTTTATGAAAATACCTTTTACTACCTTAAGTGACAGTGGAAATTGCCTATTTAGGAAAGATAAATTACACATTTTAGTATTTCATGTGTCCAAAATGCAAATGAGAGCCAGATGTGCCAGCTGCAAGAACCAAATCACTGTATCAATCAATAACAAATCCCAGGGACATGCAGACATTTAGTGTATATTTCACTGAGAAAGATGTTTGGTCAGATGCATATGTAGCAATTCAAAGCAGATCTACAGCAGCTTTCCTGAAGTTTCTTATGGACAGGCAAGGTGGTAGCCAGAATCTGTAAGCTAAATAAAGATGCTGCACCTCTGGTCCCTTGGAATTTACTGCGTAGCAATGCAAAGAAACAGGAATACCACTCATAAATCATACATGAAAGCTGTGTATTTATATTTTAAATGTCTGGGTTTTTTTAGAGGATGGACTTGACATCTGTGCGGAAAAACCTGAGTAATCATAAGCAGCTATCAGCCCTTCACACCACCACTGCTGCTATTTTCAGTGAGACACCCTGTTTTTGCTACAGTGTTTTTGGCATCACCCTGCTGCTGTGATTCAATATTTATCTGTTACATCTAGTTACATCACAACACTCTCCACACTACCTAAATCTCGTGTGGAACTTGTGCAGCTAACACCTAATCCACCGGTTTTGAGCTCTCCCTTCGAAATTCTCCAGCGTCAGAAGAAAAACTCGGTGGAGATGTGCAAACATCTGGCCCCGAGTGAATCGATCATCCATCCTCTGAAAGGGTGTGCGGTCATGCATGAGCACTGCACCTTCCTGCTAATGGCAACCGGGCAGGAATGAATCCCAGTGTGAACTGCAGTGCTTAGCATAAAACCACTTGTGAAAGGAGTGTGCCAAAAACTGCATTCAAAACACCTTTAATAACAACAGTTCTGCTCCTACAGAAGCTCCACAACAGCATCAAGTTAAAGCAATCATATACCATTTATGATGGCAAACAAGGCCCTTGGAGCTTAATATTTTTAAAAGTTGTGTTAGGAGCAAGGTGGTGGTGTCTTGTGAAACGACACAACTGAGTGCTGAAACTTCTGCTGACAACAAAGCCACCTGCTATGTCCAAGACCAGCATTTCAGTATAATCCTGAGAAAAGATTAATTCTGGAATATTTTTAGTCCTGGCTTTGAGAGCAGACAGCACTCTAGATACACTGAAAAGCATCAGGGTGGAGAGCGGGCAAGAGAATACATGCAGGAAACATTCTTTGTTTATAACCAAAACACGCTCAATTATTCTCATAAAATCCATTGTCATGAAGAAGAAAACTCCAGGCACACTGAACAGTGTCACTACTAAGGCTTGCAGAGCAATCTCAGCTTTGGAATCAGACACACAGAAAATCAGGCAGTCTCAGTATCACTGTATCTTCCCTGTCCTTTTTGCAACACAGACACAACTACAGAAAATACACGAAAGACGATGAAGAAATAAAGAACGGATTTCAAAACTGAGCAGTCACGGAAATATGGGGGCAGGGGAGAATGGAGTTCATGTTTAATTCTTTATCACCATCTGATTTGGGGGAGTCTCTGCACATTCTTGGTGACTCGGATTGTCATTTTCATCCAACAGCGGTAACCCGAAACAGCAGCTGGGGAACGCCAGCCGCTGCCACAATTCCCAGGTTTCATACAAGCCTCGAGCACCGGTTTAACAGCAGTTGCATAATAAGACTCAAAAGGCCAAGCACTCCTCCTGCCTTATACATCTCCATTTCCACACGAGCCACAGTGATGGATCTGGACGAGAACCGAGCACTACCCGAGCGCCACTACCAAGCCGGTTATTATGCAGCAAAGAAGAGGAAAACCCAACACCTGGCGCACAAATATGCAGACACACAGCGAATAGGTGGATCTACGGAGAGAGCTATCTTCTCTCTCCCTTCCCCAAGAGGCAATCCTTGATGGGTGTGCCAGGAATGGGATATCGGGGGGGAGGAGAAGAAAAGGGGTGGGAAGTGGTTGCCGCTTGCTGCAGCCAGGCTGAGCGATGGCGAGGTGGTTAATCATGGTGGCTGAGGAAACATGGGGTCACTTCTCCCCCTTCCGCCTCCCGTGTGACGAGAACGGTGGGCACCGGCCACGGGGGGGACCCGCGCCCCGCACGGACCCGCCGGCGGCGACTCAGGTGGATCCCGGGCGGAGCATCCCGGTGCCCGGTGCGGGCGGGTGGCGCGGGGCAGCGCTCCCCCCGCCCAGCCCAGCCCAGCCCTGCCCGCTCCCCGCCGCACTCACTTGCCGATCACCTCGCAGAGCTCGTACACGTCCTCGAACAGCACGTCGTCGTCGGCCATGGTCCGGGCGGGGGGGCTCAGCCCGAGAGGCGGCGGCCCCGGGGACGCCCGGCTCCCCCGCCGCTCAGCGCCCACCGCCACCACGGTAAATCCCGGCCGCTCCCAGCGCCGCCCGCCCGCCCGGGGCTCCCGCGGCCGCGCCGGGACTCCCCGCTCCTGCCGCTCCTCCTCCGCCTCCTGCCGCGGCCGCCGCCGCTCCCCGCGCGTGTCGCACCCCCCGCGCCCCCGCCTCCCGCCCCCCTCCCGCCCCCTCCCTCCCGCGCTCAGCCGCGGCTCCCGGCGGGCGGCTCCGGCTCAGCGGGGCGGCGCGGGAGCCATGGAGGGGATCGGGGCGGGCGGCAGCGCCGGGTCACTCCCTCGCCGGGCGGGAGCGGGGCGCGCGTTCCCGGGCGGGCGGGCGGGAGCGCCGGGAGGGAGGATAATAGTGGGAGGGGGGAAGGGCGGGGGGAGCCCAGGCGCGGGCGCTGATTCCGCTCCCGGGCTCGAAGAGGAGGCGGCGGCGGAGAGGCGGCGGTCGCGACAGGCGGTCGCGATAGGCGCTCGCGGTACCGAAGGGCGGGCAGGCGGACGCGCGCGCGTGCTCCCGGTGCCGCCGTCACGCAAACCCGTCACGGGGGCGGGCGCCGCCGGGGGCGCGCGCGCACGCGCGCGGGGGGCCACGCCCCCAACCGCCCGCTCGAGGGGTCCGGGGAGGCGCGAGGCGAGAGTGGGGTGGGGGCTCGCGCAGGCGCGGGGCGCGGTGACGTCATGGCGCGGGGAGAGGGTGTGTGACGTCATGGCGCGGGGGAGGGGGTCGGGGCACGGGTGCTGCTCGCGCTTATCGCTCCGGCCGCCCTTATCGCCATTATCGCCCCCATCGCCCCGCGGCAGGCACGGGGGTCCCGCCGCCTCCCTGCGTCCGCACCAAGCGGGCTGTGGCAATAAAGAACCTCAGCGCGAGCCCGGCTCGCACAGCTCTGTGCAGTGCTTTATTTCCATTCAGTGCATTCCAGCGGGACGTGAGTGTTTTCTGCAGCACGCTCTGAGCCGCCTTTGTTGCAGGGAAAGCCGCTCTTTATCCCCGAGAGCAGCGAATTCACCTTTGGGGATGCGCGTTCAGAGCTGCTCCAGCTGTGCGGCACCACTGGCTGCTGTTCCTGCAACAGCCCCAGAAACACCGTGCGAGACACCGGGTGAGCCTTAAAACACCCGAGTGCCTTCCCCATTCATGGTTACACGGTTTTTAACATGTTACACGTCTGTGCTTCTCCAAGTTTTTGAAAACTCGGCTGGTTTGTGGAGGAAAGGAAAGTTCTTTTTGAAGGAATTAGTCAGGAACTCGTGCAGTTTACAAAAAGTGTTTCTCTCACGGTACATTAGCACACACGCAACTTCCTAAAACTCCTTAACAGAGGTAAATTATGGAATTGTTCCCCAGACAGAGGAAAAAATTGTCAGAGTGCAATTATCTGATGAAATGGGTTAAAGGTTGGCTTTGAAACATAGAGCTGACAACACTTTACCTTGTTCCTGTCTCCAGGCAAATTTAAAAGGAAAAAAAAAACCAAGAAAAAATAGTGAAAATAATTACATCTAATTAGTTCTGTCCAATAATTACATCACTGCACAGTGCTGTCTTCCAGGGTGAGAGACATTCCTGTGGGTCTGTGCTCCATCCCATAACAAACCTTTTAAAAATATTTAAACCACCATCTGCTCTTTGGACTGCAAACAAAAAGCTGATATATTTAAACTGTTTCTAAATTTCGCACAGCTAAACGTGGGCACCCATCTTTTTCCTTTTGCAGGCCCACAAGGCTGAGTCCCACACAGGTCACTCAGAAAGAATTTTTAGAATTTGGGTGAGTGTTCACTTTATGCTTTGAGCTGAAGTTGTCTGCAAAGCCATCGTGAGAAGTTAACATAAAAAACAATTAAAAAGTGCACAAGGAAGAAAATTGCTGGTGATGGATCTCCTCCTGAGCTGGGGCAAATGCTTTGGCTGCTCCAGCAGCATCACCTGAGGTGATGCCGAGTTCTTGGTGTCACACCAGGCCACAATGCTCAAAAACTGAATAAAAGTCTACCAGGCATAATACATGGGGGCCTTTGTGCCAAAATATTGCAACAGAGCAAACCCTTTAAGAGCTTCAGAGGACCCTTGGGTTGGTTTTGGAAATAGGCAGCATACTCCTTACTTGAGGAGCAAGGGCAGTGGCTGCTTTTTTAATCTGATGGACTGAGCTTACTATTTTTTTTGTTGTTTATTTGGGTTTTTTTTTTGTTGTTGTTGTTGTTTTTTTTGTTTTGTTTTGGTTTTTTTTTCCCATCCTTGAGCAAAGAATGTGCTTTTTCGAGCAGCCCCAGCATTCTCTAGGCTCACAAGAAGCAAGGTGGGTCCATCAGACCTGTCAGCTGTCCATGCTCAGTGCAGGGGAGGGTGAGCTCGGGTGCTGCCTCCCGTTTGAGTTGCATGAGAAGAATCTGTCTGGAGCAGGGTTTGTGAGCAGATCTGGATCATAAAAAGTTGCACAGCGAGCCAGCAAACGCAGCAAGGACACCACTGCATCAGCAGTTACTGGAACAATTGAGAACTGTGCTGTAACTCTGTTTCACATTGAATGGGCTCAGGAAAATGTGAGCATTTGTCTGCCAGCAGCCAGGACCCAGCAGCAGGATAATCCAAGGAAAGCATTTACAGGTGTGTTTGTGATCAGAAATTCCAGCCACAAGTTCAAAAGTAGTCATTCCCTTTCATAAGCAAGCATTCTTGATTTTCACCCATGTATCCTGTGTGGATCCTTATAGATTCTGGGATTAAATGAATAATTCTGAAACATGTACATCTAACATCTCATCAAAAAGTGTGTAACCATAACGTTTGACATAGGAGCAGAAGAAACTTTGCACTTGAGACCTGAAATGATTTACTGGCAAGGTAATGGTCTGAAAACAGTTATTTCAGAGGTGGGAGAAGGACTTTTTGATCAGGAAGGAGCAAGAGAAGGACACTGAGTGCTCACATGAGGAAATGCCCTACAGCCCCTGGTGCCCTTCCCCAGAGCACTGCACGTGTCTGGGCTGCCTGTCTGCCCCATTCTGGACAGGCTGGTTAAGGTTGGGTATGCTTAGGTTAGCCAGTTTTGCATTCAAAATATGCTAAGGAGTAGCTGATTGTGGGCTTGGGCACTAGAAAACTTATTTCTTAAAATTTTGTGGAGTTTTCAAGTTTTATTCGCTTCAGGTCTTCTCAGGGTTTCCACATACAGTCTGCACAGCGTGAACCACAGGGCAGGTAAGTTGTTCAAAAGTTGATAGTTATCAGTTATCAAAGAACCTTTATGGTATTTTCACTTAAAAGTTTGATGTAAAAGGTAGATGATGATGATGAAGAACAAGAAATTTCAGTGGTTTGCCAGCATTCTGTTATCCCACAGATGTAGGAAGCACCAAATCCCGTTCCTCAGATTCCAATTATAACAGGAATTCCAATTGTAACAGGTTCCTGGGTGCTTTGATCTGTAACCCAGGTATTAATTCCCTCCCTCTTACAAGGTTTCAGAACAACCCTGAAGATGAGTATGAGCTGTTGGTAATTTGTAAGAGAGAACATTGCAGGCCTACCAGGTTTCTGACAAACTGCCATGTTGTTTAGGTGTGCAGGTTTTATGAGCTGAAAACAGTTCATACTTTGGGCAGTAGAAATGTGTTTGGGTTGAAATGAAAACAGAAAGTGTTCTGATCACAGGCACAGACATTTTCAGTCCTTGTAAAAACTGTTAGTGAAAAGAACCCTCAAAAGCCATCATCTGACCTGGAGTAGGTCTGGATGACTCCTTGCAAAAGTCTGTAATTAAATCAGCTCAGAATCTGCCATGTGGCAGGGCAGGCTGCAGCTGCAGAGCTCAGGTGCAGCACACAAGTTGTGCCACACTGTAATTAAGGAGGCCAGGTTTCCCCTGAATGCTTGTCTTAACAGGTGAGTGAAGTTTGTCTGGGAAGATCATCTCCAACTGCATTTTCCCCCTCAGTGGAGTTGTTTTTGAGCTCCTTCACAGTGTCAGTTCTCCATTGCTCAGTGAGAAGGGGACTCTCTGTGCCACCTTTCCTCTCTCAAGCCACCACCAGGTCTCTTTTCTGCGGCCACTTCTCTTCCAAAAGCAGTTGGAGCTTATCTCAGGCCTCTGTACCTTGCCCCAACGGATTCTGTTGGAATTGACTGCCAGGTTCAAAAGTTCCTGGGAAAGTTGGGTGCAGTTTGAGCGTGGCAAAACCTCCTTTCCTTGGAAAGCAGGCTGGGAGCTGCCTCTTTGGAATGAGGAATTTGCTTTCACTGCCCTTGAGACATGGTGGCCACATCCCTTTCCTCTGTCACAGCTCACACTGATCCAGTAACCAGACAGGTCTTGGTCAAGGGAAGAAGTAACTCTCCTCATCTGCAATTAGACTTTACTCATAATTAAACAGAAATTATGGTAACACTACTGGAGATGGGCATTAAACTAAACCAAAGCTGACCCATCTGATACTGTCAGAAGTATCACAAGGCACCTTTCAAAATCAACTTCCAAAGGTGAAACAGTCCCAGGTAAGAACAGCTGACAACATCAAAAGAGAGAGGAATACTTTAAAATTACACAAACCCTTACTTAATTGAGTTTCTTTAGCTATTCCTGTTGTGTAAAATTACACAAACCCTTATTTAATTGACTTTCTTTAGCTATTCCTTGCCATTCTGCTGATTTTCCCCTTCCTTGTGTACCATGTAGCTGTGTCTTGATTGCATTACTGGAGGTGTTTATTTATTTCTCCCCAGCTGCAGCTTTTCCTCATTGATGAGTATGGATTAAATTATAAGAACTGTAGAGGAAATCTCTCCAGGATGCTTTTATTGAAACTTTTTTTAAATTAAAAATGTCTTAGAGGAGAGGGGTTAAAACCAGGTAATAAAAACAACTGAAAATTCCAGTTATCTTTTCATCATTTGCAACCATATGCTACAGTTATGCACCTATAAAGAGAAAAATAATTAAAAATCACATTATAAAGACAATATCAAAATGCTAAGTACTAGCACAAAAAAAAATGAAAACTAGCTACCTTTTTATTTTCATGTCTGTCTTTCCTTC